CTTGCAGATGATCTCTTTCTTCTATTTGCTCCTTAAATGAAATGCTCAGTCTATTTTGTGATCATCATCTTGCCAGATTGTGGCAATTTTTTTTCACTGCACTTTGTCACCTTTCAGCCTGGTTTTGCATATATGACTTAGTGACTCAGTGAATATTCATCTGTGTTCTTTAAGTCCCTGGAGCAATTCCCTCATATAGCTATTGCATATTATCAGATAACCTCCCACTTTTTGCCTGAGATTCTTACCAGAAAATTCCAAACACACAAAGTAGAGAAAATAGTAAATCAGGGATCCCTGGGTGGTGCAGTGGTTTGGCGCCTGCCTTTGGCCCAGGGCGTGATCCTGGAGACTCGGGATTGAATCCCACATCGGGCTTCCGGTCCATGGAGCCTGCTTCTCTCTCTGCCTGTGTCTCTGCCTCTCTCTCTCTCTCTCTCTGTGACTATCATAAATAAATAAAAAAAAATTTTTAAAAAAATAGTAAATCAAATCCCCATGTACCCATCATCCTCCTTCAGCAATGGTCACCTTATCCCCACTCTTGTTTTAGCTGTTCCTTACCTGTGTCTCTTCTTTTCAATGCTCATCCTACATTTCTTTTGAACATATTTCTACATATATATATATATATATATATATATCTGCAAAAGATATGGGTTTCTGAAAAATTACAGACACAATACTATTAAAAACCTTTAAAAACAAATAGTTCTTTAATATTATAAAATAATTTCCAAATAATTTTCAAATTTCTTCAGTTGTCTTGGAGTTTCTTTTAAATTGATTTGAATCAGAATTTCAAGATCCAGATAGCACATTTGGTTAGTATATGTTTTAAGCCTCTTTTATTCTGTAGTTACCCTATCCTCTTTTGTCTTCCCTGACGCTTACTTCTTAAAGAACTTAGGCTGTTTTGTAGTATTTCCTCCAGACTAAATTTTACTGATTGTATTCTGGAAGTGTCTTCTAACATGGTTTTCTGTATCCTATATTTTCTGTAGACTGGTATGGATTTAGAGCTTCAGTTTTTTGCAAGACTGCTTTAGAAGGTGTGTGCGCGCTTCCATCAGAAGGCCTTCAGTGCTGCTTGTACCTCCTTTTATGACGTCAGCAGCCATTGATGATTATTACTCAGCTTCAGTACTTTATTCAGCACTTTATTTGTACAATGGTGATACTCTAATGCTATCAATTTTATGCTTTCATTATCTGGAATACTTTAAGGAGAAACCTTCCCTCATCACGGTCATTTGTGGTACACTCTGTGCAGCAAAGGCATGTTGAATTTTAATATTTCCTCCTTTTATTTGTTTTCCAAATAATGAATTGGTTCCAATTATGGACAATGATTTCTTTAGATTATTGTTATGAACATGTAGGTATCAACATATCTGATGTGTTTGCATCCATTGTAGTTATTTTTCTTATTGCTGTTCTAATTGTTATTTCTTTCAGCTCTTGAGTTTGACACAACCCTGGTAGTTTTATATAGTGTCTTTGCTTTTTGATATGACAAAATATTCCAATCTCAGATACTTTCTGCCTCAGACTTGGAATCACCCATTTCCCCAAAGAGCTTTGGTTTATTTTCATGGAAAATAGTATTTAGAGATCACAATTTTGAATTGAGGTAGAAGATGATAATTTAGTAAAGACCTACAAGGAATGAGAGAATGAGTTGTGTGGGTATTTGGGAGAATAACATTCCAGGCAGAAGGAACAGCAGGTGCAAAGATGATGAGGCTGGGACAGAGGGAGCAAGAAGAGAGAAGTAGTGGGAAAGAAAACCAAAGAAGTGGAGAGAAGGCCAGGTAGGGCCTCGTAGGCTGTCGGAAGGACTTTAGGTTTCCTTGGAGTAGATGGGAGCCATTGGAAGATTTGGAGCAGAGGAATCACATAATCTTTTGTTTTAACTAAATCACTATAGGTGCTGGGTTGAGGATGGACTAAACAGAGTTAAAAGCAGAATCTGGGGGACCAGTGAGAAGGCTATCACAGTAAACCAAGTGAGATGTGATGTGGTTTGAGATAGTGTGGTAGTAGTGGAGGTGATGAGAAGGAATTAGGTTCAGGATATATTTTGAAAATGGAACCCACAGAATTTGGTAAAGGACTGGACTTAGATTGGGAGGAAAGAGAATTCAATGTGACTCCAAGGCTTATGGCCTGAGCTATTAATGAAATCGTGATAATATGAGTGGCATCTCTTTTGTGGTTCAGTGCTGTATTTGGGGGAGAAAGAAGAGAACAGTCAGGCAAAGGCCCACAGAAGACTAGATGCATAAGCTGAGTCATGACAGATATGTAGGAGGACCAGGTAAACAAGAGGGGAAAGAACATTCTGAGCAGAGGGAGCAACAGAAGAAGTAGGAGGTGAAAATTTGGAAAAGGGTATCTTGCATCAGTACAACTTGTGTAAATGTAGAGTCCTGAAAGGACTGTGGGTTTGGAATTACAATTTTTTTTTTTTTTGAGCATAGGGATCTGGCAGGAAATGAAACTAGAGAGGCAGAGGTGGGGCAACCCGGGTGTCTCAGCGGTTTAGTGCCACCTTCAGCCTGGGGCCTAATCCTGGAGACCCGGGATTGAGTCCCACGTTGGGCTCCCTGCATGGAGCCTGCTTCTCCCTCTGCCTGTGTCTCTGCCTCTCTCTCTCTCTCTGTCTCTCATGAATAAATAAATAAATTCTTAAAAAAAAAAAGAGAGAGGCATGGGGGGACCTTATATATTCCATGATAAGAATTTGAATTTTGCTTTATGGATAATAAGGAGACTAGAACTTTTTAAGCCTGAGGATGATATTATCTGGTAGACACTTCAGGAAGATCATTTGGGCAGTTCAGTGAGAGAGACTGAAGTGATAAAAAAATGAACCTTTAATCATTCTAAGAATTTATCAAAGATCCTTTTATCATTAAAAGAAAGGTAAATATCTTCACCCCTTTCTAATAACAACTACCTCTATCCTTCTGAGGGCAGTTTAAAAAATATTTTTTTAAAATTTATTTATTTGAGAGAGGGAAGGAGAGGGAGAGAGAGGGAAAGCATGAGCAGGGAGAGGAGCAGAGGGAGAAGCAGACTCCCCACTGAGCAGGGAGCCCAATGTGGGGCTCGATCATGGGATCATGACCTGAGCCAAAGGCAGATGTTTAACCAACTAAGCCACCTGGGGGGCCTCTGAGTGTAGTTTTTATTTTCTACTTCCTATTACAAATAACATGAATAATGATGATGATAATTTTTTGTTCAGAAATAGGGTTTATTTTTTTAAGATAAATTTTCAGGCCTTTAAAAAGACACACATAAACCCCATATGTTTTGTAATCATTCTTGGATGAATGAGAGGCAATATTTACTTAACTATATAGTGTTTTCATATGCCAAGGAGGGTGTGAACACCAGACAGTATGTTTTAACTGTAGTATAGGAAATGTTACCATAAGAAGCACTTGGCATTTAGTCAGAAGGTTCTCATATAGTCAACTCTGGTGAACTTCAAATTTTTATGAGGTGCTAATTAATATGAGATTTTATCTTTTCTGGTTGAACCAGAAGTTGGATACTTTACTCCTGACATGACATTAAAAGAGAAATGAGTCAATTGTCAGAGTAACCTTTAGTCAACAATATGATGTCTAAGTAGAACATGGTAGGAGTTGCTTTGAATTTTATTTTATTTTATTTTATTTTGAACTTTATTTTTGGTTGAAATGGAGAACTGTTGCCACAGTGCCCAATGTGAGGCTCTCTTTGACATGTTTGGTGCTTGTTGCTTGTTTCCCACCTAAACCCTCATCCACTGTGATCTTCCACTTGATCATTCTTTTCTCCTTCTAGCTTTGTTAGTCTGTTTTCCAATCTGTACTTCACAGGATATTTTGGGGACATGCTGTTTTTCACATTTTTCTCCAAAATGGTGATGCCAAGACAGTCATAAACCAATTATAAAAATTGCTGATTTTAAAAAATATCTCATTATCTTACTTAAAAATAATTTTACCACAATAGGACAATATTAAACCAATATTCCTTTAGTAGAAATGTAACCTAAAGTGGCTCTGGAGAAGGCATCCATTGGATTTTTCATTTAGCATAATTAGTTATTAGTATAAATGCAAAGTCCTGTAACTATGAACCATTTAGTAAGATAAAAGAAGACTTTTGTTGTACACACTCAACATCAAAGAATTATTGAGTACATACTATGTGCAAGTTAACAGAGATGCCTGTACTGAAAAGTCATCCCCTGCTTTTTTATTGAAGTATCAATATATTTTATCAATATATTTTCTATAGAGAGTCAAAACCAATTTGTAATAGTCACCAATTTAATTGTTTATATGAAGAAAAATGTCTTATGGTGTAATTCGTTTTAGACACAAATAATCATGTTAGAGAGGCAATGTAGAAAAAACATGAAGTAGGAATCAGAAAACCTACTTTGCTGCTTTTTATTCATTAATTCAACTGTTTATCAAACATTTATTGAGAGCCTACACTGTGGAGCAACTCTATTAGGTGCCGGGGAGCATGGTAGCAAATAAGAGAGACCATGGTGCTCGCTGCTCTCTTTTCTCTCTCTCTGTGAACATGAGCAGATGGCTTAACTTTTCCTTGCCTCTCACCTTGGTGAGACTACATGTCTGCAGTATCTTTTCAAATCTATAATGCTGAGATTTATGTTAGCCTTGTGGAGGGAGAATCTGCCCAAGGGGCTTTGGGCCTTGAGTACTTATCTTCCTCTGGGAGGATTAGGTTTTATCCTAATTTCAAAATCATATCTACTACACAGAGTTTTAAAATGTTTTGGTTGGCCTCTCATCTGCATTTGGTCATTTTGGCAAAACCTGAGTGTGGCAATTCATGGTCATAAGACTTCAGAGGTAGGAGGTTAGCCTGGGAAAGGTGTACGGCTTGCATCAGTACAGCTGAATAGCTGTTCCCAGGGAGCAGCCTCCTCTGCCTCCCCACCAATAACTTGGCTTCTTCTGCCACAGCGTCCATCCGTGACAGGACCTGTTGCTCTTCTGGTCTAATGAGCCTCAAAAAGGGATTGTTCATCAGAGGACCAGAGGTGATCGGCTTTATGGGACAGAAAGGACTGAATCCCACAGTTTTTCCGGTGGGTATCAGGTAACAAGCTTCTTGCTTTCTGGTTTCAAAACTGCCCTAAGTAAATAGCTTTTCTGCTTGCAGCCAAGATACATTTCTCAAGGAGAAAAATGGATTTCTGAGGCAAAGAGAGAGAGAGAGAGAGAGAGAGAGAGCAGAGGGGAGAGGAGAGGAGAGGAGAGGAGAGGAGAGGAGAGGAGAGGAGAGGAGAGGAGAGGAGAGGAGAGAGAGGGAGAGAGAGAGAGGGAGAGAGACTTGAACATACATTGCTTAAAGAGCACAAAAAAGTTACAAGCCGGGTAACACTTCGTGGTCTTTAGGGAAATGAGCAGCTGGACTCAGCCAATCTCTTCTTTCCAGTCGAGTCGAGTCAATGAGAGACATAGGGTTTGATGTTCCTTCCGAAACGGGGCTGGCTAACTTAGCCCCTCCCATGAGCCGGAGGGTCTGTTATATCTCGGTTCCTTGAGTACCTCTCTCACTGAGACCGACCACAGCAAGCAGAGGCTGAAAAATAAAGAGCAAAGAGGAAGAAAACAAAAGCTGCCAATTATGGAAGATAGAAAGGGTAAGAGCAAATTGATTTGATCTGAATCCTTAAGAACAACAACAACAACAAAAAAAAAAAAAAAAAAAAGGAAAAAAACCCCTGAAAAGCCCAGACCAAAAGCAAGTACTTGAAAGAGCAAGAGGCATAAATCCCCAAATGAACTTTCCCACCCTCTCCTTTTGAGGGGAGGCAGAGAAAGAACTTTGGGAAACCTTTTGGGAAGCAAAGCCTGGGGATTTTAGTCAGGGGTGGTTCTTGAGCAAGCTGGAGGGGCTCATGAATATTCATGATCAATTTGCTTTCAGATCTGGTGGTTTAGCGGCAAATGACTTCTTCCAGTTAAGAAGTAGCTGCCTCATTTATAGTCCAGAGTCATCTTGCTTCGGGTCTGTACCTCAGTGAGTTTGCTGAAGATGCTGGTCTCTGTGTGTAGATTTGTTTTGTTCTCAAATTTCCTGCATGCTTTCCTGTTGTGAAATTAGCAAAGACTTCTCTGCCAGGAGTTAGATAGAGAAGTTAATGTGGCAAGAAGCTGTCACAACAGGACCCCAGAGTATGTCTTGCAAAAGACTGAATATTTCTTGGATTGTGTGTATGTGTATGGGAGAGGGGGAGAGGAGTGAAGGGGTGAAGAGATAAATAGTTTTAACTTAAAAAAACAAGGCATATCTGAGTGACTATATTTAGATTTTTGTCTAAAAACTATAAGAGCAGCCTGGTTTTTACAGATGGTGTGCAGTCTCTGTCTTTTACCTCTTTTGGGCATTTTCTGCCACAGCGGTGAACCAGCTGCTTGCCAGCCCATGGGAGCCAGGAAAAGTCTCCGGCAGCAGTGTGATTGTGTAGGGTTGGAGAACTTCTTCTTTTTTATCTCTAGTTTCTGATATTTCCCACACGTTTTTATCATATAGAATGCAGAGCAGTGGGATGAGTAGCCAATGGATTCTTAATAATGATAAGTAATTGTAGCTGTTAATGTTTACTAAGTCTCTATTCTGTGCCGGGAGCTGTTCTAAGCACAATACCCATATTATTTATTCCTCACATCAGCTTAAGAGGTGAGTGCTATCATTATCATTCCCATTTTTCCAGATGGTGGAGTTGATATAATGAGAGAGTGGCTGGCCTTGGAATCACACAGTGAGTGAGTGGTGAATCTGGATGCAGGTGGTTGGACCCAAGGTCTGTGGGCCTTTCTTTCTGTACTCTCACACTGTTACTCCACCTGGAGGCTCTGGGTACTGCCATGACATGGTTGATTCTGAATTTCAAAGCCTTGAAGCTACTGGGGAAATGAATGATACTTAATGAAATCTAAAGTTAGAAGGAATCTGTGCTTTACTGCCAGTTCACATTCATTTTTCTCATTTGGTCCTTATGACCATTTTCTATGGTAGAGCCCAGGTAGTGTTATTTTTACCCTTTTATAAAAGGAAGAGAGTTTGGCTAGGAGGGATTCGGGGATAGTAATCACACAGACTAGAAATCTCCTGACTCTGTTTTCTGCCGAGTGGACCCAGTCATTTCTGAACTTCTGTCCCCACCCCCAGCCACTTTCAGTTCCTCAAGTAACCTTGCTCCTTTCCTCCCGGTCAGACTGTTTTATGCATGGCACTTGCCTCTGCCCTGAAGGCCTATCTAGCCTTCTCCTTCCCCTTCGTCTGGAGCCAAGCTGCCTAGGTTTGAATCCCAGCTCCATCATTTACTAACTGTGTGCCTTAGTTTCTTCATATGTAAATTGAAGAGAATAATATATACCTCATAAGGTTATAATAAGGGACTAAATGAGAGATGCATGCAAAATTCTCAGAACAGAGTCTGATGCATAGTCTATGTGCTCAGTAAATGTTAGCTGTTGCAGTCATTCCCCAAGTTTCATCTTGGTTGTTAATCCCTGCTTTAAGTTTTCTTCAACTCTTTGAGCCTTAGATTAGCACTTCTTGGATGTTTCTACAACACCTCACTGCTTATGCCTAAACCATTGCTCATCATACTCATCCACTCTGAATTCTTGCCCTCTGAATTGCCTCCTCTTTACCCTGATGATAATCTATCTGTTTTTGGATTAGCAGTACATAATGGGAACTCAACAAATATTTAATAAACTAAGTATTATGTTAGTTGATGTTTTTCCAAGAAACAGGAGGCTGGTTTAAAAGGGGATCTATGACTCTTTTCTGGTTATTGTGGTGTGTGGCACTGGAAGCAGCACAGTCTCCCATGACGCCCTGTATCAGGGAGTGCGGGAAGTCCTGCAGGGGAACCAGCCTAAGAACTGGCAATGTTTGGAGAGGGTGGAGCTGCAGATCAGCTTGAAGAAGTATGATGCTGTGAAGGACAGACACTTCTTAGGCACCATCAGGCTTAAGTCTACTCCCAGCCCAAGTTCTCCATATGAGTTTTGGGGGACTGGCAGCACTGTGATGAGGCCAAGGTTGTGGATATTCCCCACATGGACATTAAGGTGCTAAAGAAACTCAACAAGAATAAAAAATCAAGGAGCTGGCTAAGAAGTATTATGTTGCCTTTTTGGCTTCAGAATCTCTAATCAAGCAGATCCACAAATCCTGGACCCAGGCTTGAATAAAGCTGGCAAATTCCCTTCCTTGCTGACTCACAGTGAGAACATGGTGGCTAAAGTGGATGAAGTGAAGTCTACAATCAAATTTCAGATGAAGAACATGCTGTGTCTGGCAGTGGCCATTGGTCCCATGAAGATGACAGATGATGAGCTTGTGTACAACATCCACTTAGCTGTCAATTTCCTAGTGTCGTTGCTCAAGAATTGGCAGAACATCTGGGCTTTAGACATCAAGAGCACCATGGGCAATTCCCGGCACCTGCACTAAGACACAGTTTAATAAACCCTAGTGCTACCAAAATAAACAAACAAATAAATAAAAGGGGACCTATGAATTTGCAGTAGAGTTCCTGCTGGTATATACTGCTCTTTTATGTGCTCTATTAAGATATTCCTCAAAGTGAATACACTGAGAAATGAGATGCATCCCTTCTAGGTGGGTGAGCTTCAGAGTTGATGTGGCCAGGGCACCCACTTTGGCCAGTCCAGCTTTAGCAGAACTTCAGCCCCCACTCCCCATTCAGCCAGGGGCCAAACTGGAGATCTCAGATGCCTCATAGTACAACCTTACCATCTTTGAACAGAACATCTGGTTCCAGAAATAGTGCCTCCCTAACCCTGTTAAATAGCAACCTTATAGTCTGAGACAATGTACTCTGGTAATAGAAGAAAAACATACTGCAGAGGTAGGCCCTGGATAAAATCATAAAGTACATTAAATTTGTTCCCAGCACTCTCCTTTTTCTCTTTCTGGCATACCTTCAAAGCAATTTGATGAATATCATTGTGTGTCTACCATTATGTCCCTATGCCAGATGTGTGGGACTATAAACAGTTTGCTCACAGTCTAGTGAGGAAGACAGACTTGTATACAACACACTCTAATTGAAACCAGACCCTGTGAAGTGCTAATAATAATAGCTCATAGTTTATGGTCAGTTGACCATAATCTATGACATAAATCAAATAAACATTGATTATTATGTGCCAGGCACTGTCCCATGTAATCTTCACAAGAAACCTGTGATAGAGGTTTCTGCATCTTATAGTTGTGGAGGGAAGTGACTTGGCCAAGGTCACAGAGCTAGGAGTATAGGAAGAAGGGGAATTTATTCTAGTCAAGGGTAAATAACATGTAGTGTTATGTTAGTTTCAGATGTATAATATAATGATTCAATAATTCTATTTTTTTAAAGATATTATTCATTTTTAGAGAGAGACCGAGGGCAAAGTGAAGGGGGGGTGGCAGGGAGAGTGACAAGCAGACTCTGCGTTGAGTGCAGAGCCTGACATAGGGCTAGATCACATGACCCTGAGATCTTGACCTGAGCCAAAGTCGAGAGTCCGATGCTTAACAGACTGAACCACTCAGATACCCCAAGAATTCAGCTGTTCCGTACGTTACTTAGTGCTCATCATAAGTATATTCTTAATCCCCTTCACCTATTTCACCCATCCTCCCACCCACCTCCCCACTGGCAACTACCAGTTTGTTCTTCGTATTTAAGAGTCTATTTTTGTTTGTCTTTTTCTTTGTTCATGTGTTTTATTTCTTAACCAAATGAGTGAAATCATATGGTATTTGTCTTTCTCTGACAGACTTATTTCACTTAGCATTATACTCTTTGGATCCATCCGTGTTGTTACAAACAGCAAGATTTTATTCTTTATTCTTTTTGTATGGCTGAGTAGTATTCCATTGAATATATATACCACCTCTTCTTTCTTTATTTTATTTTATTTTTTTAAGTAAGCTGTATGCCCAATATGGGGCTTGAATTCACAACCCTGAGATCCAGAGTTGCATGCTTCACTGACTGAGCCAGCCAGGTGCCCCTACCACCTTTTTTTAATTCATTCATCTATCAATGGACACTTG